TAGAATTGAATCCGGGGAAATTGACTTCGAATAAAGTGGTCAACAAATACTTTTAGAGGAATAATGTTTAACACCAATAGGAAAGTAGCCAAAAGATAATTCTATTATATCATTGAAATGTCCCTCCTCAAGGGTTAAATCATCTTCTTTCCTTGAGGTGGAGGAGCTAGGATAAAATTTTTTATCATTCTTTAATTCATTAGATAAATTAAGAGCTTCATCAATCACTAACCATACAACCCTACCAACATATAGTGGGGTTAAGGTTAAGGCTTTGATTCTCCTACTGGCTTTTTATACATAATAAATTCAGACTCAAAACTTTGAACTTCAGGAGTATTGCACTCAAGGTTACTATCACATTCTAAAGTGAGATCAAATTTTGGAGAAGGATTGATTTTCTAGTAATCAAAAGGAATTCTAAAAACCCGTACTTCTAGTTCCTCATTGGAACTTAATTCCAGGTTAATGTACACTAGGGGTGTTCTTCTTTGAATGAAGCATAGCCTTGACTATATGCCCTTTGGGCCATCCTCCCACCTATTTGAGGTAACATGTTTGGAGGCTTAAGGACCATCATCTTTGGATCATCTTCACTATATGATTATTGTATCCCTTACATTTGATCCTTAATTTTCTTTTGAGCTTTTCTCACTGGCTTTTTCCTCAGTAACCTTAATCTCAACTTTATAATGGGCAAAGGACCATTTGGGTGCATAATATGCAGCATCCTTATAGATATCAGGCTCTTGAATAAAAATTATTATAAATCACCCTTAATTACATACTCAATGCCATCTCTTTGATACTTGAAGCATTGGTGTAGGGCAGATGGAACCTTTTTATATTCATGGATCTAGGGTATACCAAGGAGTGCGTTAAAGGGTGCTACGAATCAATTATATGAATTTTTTCTTCTTTTTCAAATATCCAATCTCTAAAAAGAGGGTAATTGAATCTAAAGCCTTCTCACCTTTTCTATTGAACCTTAATAACACCAACTTGTCGGTGGTGAGCATATACGTATCCACTTTGATGTATGCGAGTGTCATTAAGTTCATATTATTGGCTGATGCAACCAAATCAATAAAAACTCTAGATAACTTGAATTTTCACACATTTATAATGATGTAAAGTTGGAAATTATTATCGCAGTACCCAAAAGTAAATCAATGTCTGAGAAGGTTAGTCCTGGGATTTTCAAAGTAGAGGGCTTCATCTTGTGAAGTCAAAGCTAGTTGAGTTAGGAAAATCTTCAGTTTGAGAAGTTCTTTTATTAAAGATTCTCTTATCTCCATTAAGAGAATGAGGGAATTGTAAATGATCAACTCATCATTGAACTTCATAAGATGAACTAAAATGTTATTATTAACCTTGGGAACATCAGAATCATAACCCAATGGACTGGAGGAAAGATTTGATTACCGAGGAGAATTTTGAATTAGAACATTAGAGATAACTTTCTTGACTTTTTCTAAGGCGAAAACCTACGGCGTGAGACTTTTCCACCAAGAAGTTGAAATTACTAAATGACAAGAGGGGGGGTGAATTGTGAAAATATTTTTCTCAATAAAAATAACCCTAAACAAGAGTTCTAATTTTTTTTGTTATTTTTGAAATTTTAAAACAAAACTTTAAGCAAGTTTTCTTCCACAAATTTCACCAAGCAATAGTTATGAAAATTAAATGCAAGTAAAAAGTAAATGATGATAAGGAAAAAACACACCAAGAATTTTTATATTGGTTCGGTCAAAATATGACCTACGTCCACTCCTCGGAGTCCTCCGCTCCGGGATTTTCACTACCAAAAATAGTTCTCCTTTTGCCCCCCTCGGCAAGGCGGAGAAGCCTTTAAAAACCTCCCTTTCACCAACCCGGCGTGGCGGAGTGTCAAACTCTATTTTCGCCCTCTTGGGGACGGCAGAGAACCTTCTCATTTTTCTCCCTCCTGGAGAAGGCAGAGAACCTCGAGGTCACGGATATAGACGAGCCTTTCCCTTGGAGATCCTCCCTCAAATTCTTCTAGGGCCACAGGAGGAGCAAGATGCAGCAAGTACGGAGCAATCGTGTGATCTCCCTCACACCTCTTCTCCCTCACAACGCTCACCTTCTCCTTCCTCTCTCAACCCTAAAGAAATTCTCTAGAGCTCTCTCCCTTGGAATCCCTCTCTCACCACATTCACCCCCTTTGTGATTCTTACTGAATAAGAACTTGATTGACATCTAAAACGGGCTCCAAAAACCTCTTATTTCAAAAGTAGTTGTTACTGTTCGTACAGTATGATTCAACATCGTACAGTACGATCTTCATAAACAGACTTCGTCCTGGTACGAAGATGTACGAACAGTTAAAAAACAATTCGTACTGTACGATATAATATCGTGCGGTACGATTCACAAAATACTATTCATACAGGACGATGGTCTGGACAACCAGATGTCATCTCTGTTCATCGTATGGTACAATCACTATCGTACAGTACGATGAGACAAAAACCAAGAGATCGTCCAGGAAGATATTCGGGACGATCAAACTTCATCTCTATTCATTGTATAGTACAATCTGGTTCATACAGTACGATGTTCAAAATTTAATTAGGCCTGGATTTCATGCACTAATCATAAGTTAATTTAAGTAAGTATTTAAAATAGATCGTACAGTACGAAACTATTCATACAGTATGAACAGTGCAAAATCACTTACTAAACTAAACGACGGCTAGGGTTTTGGATCTGAACATATCGTACAGTATGAAACTATTCGTACAGTACGAAACTATTCGTACAGTATGATCTATTCACAGAATCATCCACATAGCTCGGATCGTACGGTACGAATTAAAATCGTACAGTACGATCTCAAGAGAAGAAATTCTAATACATTTTGCATTTAAAAACAAACTCTCCCCCTGTGTGTGTGCATGGTTGCTCTTACTCTTATGCATTTTGTGGCTAGACTCAATAAAATAAAAATAAAATAAATAGAAAAATATAATGTCTGACTCATACTCCTAATCTACCCGTTCTTGAGTCTTCCTTTCGTCCTGAGTCACTTGTGATCTTCCTAAAATGTTAGTACTCAAGGACAATAGCAAATAAAAGAATATTCAATGAAAAGTTCTTCTAAAACACTCATTATTTGGCATCATCAAAATCTCAAGCTCGGGGTCATTATTTTTAACAGAAGTTATACCTCCATGATATCCTTCAGAGGATAAATAATAGTAGGGTCTATGCTCTCTATAGGCAATGCATCAACATTTTTTGAATTGGAATATGAATATGAAAAATATATCAAAATGGTACTTCCTTGGAAGTTAATTTATAGGAGTTCACCATCTGATAAGATCTTAGACTTGTCTTCGCTTTAGAGGTCACATATGGAAGGTTGAGTTTTTTAATATCTTGAATGATCTTGACTGAATTTTGTTTGTCTGTTAAAGAAGGATCATTTTTCAATTCATTCTCATGATTAATCATCAAAATAGATGTAGAAGAATATTTTTTATTAAATTTTCTTTCCTTTGCCTTTGATAGAGAAAATTAAAGTCAGATAACATAAATAAGGATAAGGCTTATAAACCACCATCCATCACCTGAATACATATCTCATTAGTACATTTTATCTATATAAAAATGTTGCTCTTTTCTTTTTTATTTAATACATTAATTCCTACAACTATCGGAGAGGAAAGTAGCTCAACTTCATCTTGCGAAGCCTCCAGGTCAATCTCCTAGTTTAGGAACTGAGCTCTCATCGGTAGCTGTTAAGAAAGATGAAAAGATTTGTTAATCAGCTTTTTAAAACACCTAGTATAAAGTAAAATCACAAGAATGTTTTGTGGACAGAGAAAAGTTAGAATTGTTACCTGAAATTGTCTTGATTGATCCCTGTTTCAAATCTACCAAATACTCCAAATGAATTATGATGTTACCTTGCGTAAAGTTCTTCTCAAGACAATCTTTAAAAATAATACAATCCTTAATTTGGTAACTCAACATTTGGTGGTAAGGGTAATAGTTGGGATCATCCTTTTTATTTGCATCATCTTGCCTCCTCGCCTCTAACAAATTTAAGTCTAGTTTCTTTAAATGACTACTAAAGATTTTCCTTACTCACTCTCTTTTAAATAGATAAGGTTTTGCAAATATATCTTTAAAAGGGATATGGTGTCACGACCCAACCCGACCGAGACGGATCCCGCTCGCATCGGGCCGCACACAGCCAACAAATCCAGGATCTGGCTTTGGAATTTGCTTCAGAAACTTTCTTCCAAATTAACACAGACAGAAAAACACAGAGCTACTATAAACATCCAAACACAGCGCAGTTCATCTATCTTTTCTTCCATCAAAATAATCATATACAGATACAGTGCATGGCTTCAGACAGAAAGAACATAACATAATAGAAAAGCCATGACTATATAAAAATCAAAAGTATCAAGTACCTAATCACAGATCAGACTCAGAACATCTAGTCCAAGACCTCCTTCCTTTTCCCAGAACCTGGAAACCATGCAGAAAATAAGGATGAGCTAACAGCTCAGCAAGACATCAATCACCAATCAAAATCATAAGAAACTCACATCAGAAAATGTATCAAAAAAGTGTCCGTACAGAAATCGAACAATCGTACAAAAATCGTACAACAGACAGTCAGATAACAGTTCAATCAGAATCAAACATCAAATACGAAAACTGAAATCATATCATATCAGATATCATAAAGCTTTCATGTCACAGAGCAGACAGAATCATACGGAATAATCAGAGTCGTACAGAAATCTGAAATCAGATAAAATCACATTACAGCTTTACAGAACAGATAATTTCAGAACAAAACTTCCTTCCAAATGTCGGAACTTCCCCTCTTCCCCTTATGGCTCCCTTTTGTGCTTATAGCACAAGAACTTCCCCTTATAGCTCCCTTTTGTGCTTATAGCACCAGAACAAAACAGGTATACAAAATTTCAGGTTTCAAAACTTCCCCTTATGTCTCCCTTCCCGGACCCAGAAAATGGAATCACAAAGGATTCCGGCCCCTTATAACTCCCTTTTGATAGCATACAAATAATCAATTCATTCCAATCATCTCATTTCAGAATTTCAGAAATCGTACGAAAATTCAGCGGCATAATGGCAGTATACGGAATTTACACAAAATTCACACATCCAGAAATTTACCAAATTTCCATAGAACATTCACAACAACATTATAATACTTTCGTTGTACTGATAAAACATTTTTCAACATACTGATAATTTGCAGTTCAATTAAAACACCACAGAATCCAAAATATCAAGCACAAATCTTCCATAAAATACTCAAAACGTGCATAATTATCATCTCAGAGACATAACAAAAGTTATGCGGTAAAACCTTTGTCAGGAGAAAATAATACCATAAATTCGCTAACGGAAACAAAATCCGGAACAGAAAATGCGTCAAAAATCTCATTTCTGAAAATTTAGAAAGGCGGAATGTGCCTTACCTCGAGTCGGTCAACTTCTCTAACTACCACAACGGACGAAAACAGATCGGAGTCGTTCAAAAATCCTCTTTTGCTTCTTTTCCTTCATTTTTTTCTCTCCTGGGCGTCCTTTTCTTTCCAAAATATTTCATTTCCATATATATCAAGACTGATCGTACCGGACGATCGCAACTTCGTCCCGGACGATCTAGGCTATGGACGAATTTCGTCCAGACGGTCGCGGACGATCTAGGCTCTGGACGAATTTCGTCCAAACGAAATTAATTATCGTCACGGATGATTTGGGCTCTGGACAAATTTCATCCAGAAGAAATTAATTATCGTCCCGTATGACTTGCTCTCGGTAAAAATTTCGTCCAGACGATCCTATTTTTGTCCAGACAAACCATACAGCCAGAACTATTTTCCTGCACAACCTGTACCGATCGTCCCAAACGATCGAACTTCGTCCGGACGAACCTAGGAGCAAAGTGGTCTTTACAATCTCCCCAACTTCAGAAAAATGTCATCCTCGACATTGCCAAACCAAAACTCAGTCAAAAAAGATACGGATATGCTTGCCTCATGTCCGACTCCTTCTCCCACGTCGCTCCTCGTGCTGTTCGGTGCTTCCACTGAACTTTAACCATAGGAATTTGTTTACTTCTTAACTTACGTACATCATAGGCCAAAATCAACTCAGGTTCTTCTTCATACCTCAGATTCTCCTGAATCTCTACTTCATCAACAGATAATTTCTTTCCAGAATCAGATATCCACTTTTTCAAAGTAGATACGTGAAAAACATTGTGCACATCAGACATCTGATCAGATAGTAACAGTCTGTAAGCAGACTTACCAATCCTTTCAAGGATTTCAAACGGTCCAACATACCTTGGACTGAGCTTACTCACTCTTCCAAATCTGCTAACTCCTTTCATCGGACTGAATTTGATATGCACAAAGTCACCAACTGGAAATTCCATAAATCGGTGCTTCTGATTGTAATACTTCTGTTATCGATCTTGTACAGCTTTCAATCTTTCTTTAATCAAATTGATTTTTTTAACAGTTTCATCCATAAATGTTGTACCCATTTCTTGTCTATCTCCTATCTCAGTCAGAGTCAAATGAGTTCTACACTTCCGGCCATACAAAGCTTCATAAGGTGTCATACCAATGCTGGACTGAAAACTGTTATTATAAGCAAATTCGATCAAAGGGATATAATCTTCCCAGCTTCCTCCAAAGTCCAAGACACATAATCGCATAAGATCTTCCAGTACCTGGATAGTTCTCTCAGACTGTCTGTTAGTCTGCTGATGAAAAGCAGTACAGAAATGCAACCTCATACCTAATCCTTGCTGAATACTCTTCCAAAGTTTGGAAGTAAACCGTCCATCTCGATCAGATACAATCACTTTAGGCACACCATGTAATCTGACAATCTCCTTCACATATACCTGAGCCAACTTATCCACCGGATCCGTCTGCCTGATCGGAAGAAAATGTGCAAACTTCGTCAATCGATCCACAATCACCCAAATGGCATCGTGCCCTTGCCTTGATCGAGGAAAACCCTTGGCAAGATCTTCCACTCCGGGATAGGCAACGACTGCAAAAGACCTCCTGGTCGTTGATGCTCTACCTTCACTAACTGACAGGCTTCGCATTTCAAAACAAAATCCGCTACATCCTTTTTCATTCCAGGCCACCAGAACAAACTCTTCATATCTCCATACATCTTGTCACTTCCCGGATATATCGTATAGCCTGAATGGTGAGATTCATACAGAATCTCTTTCCTCAGATCTCCAAACACAAAAATCCACAGTCTATTCTTGCAGAAAATAACAACAGAATCAGAAACTCGAAGTTCAGGTTTCTTACCAGATTCAATCTGAGCAATCAACTTCAAATAATCGGAATCCGACTTCTGAGCTTTTTGAATCCTTTCTTCCAGGGAAGACTGAATGTTCATCTGTGTGAAAATACCAGAATTCGCACCAGTAAAGGAAATCACCTCTAACTGTAATCTTTCCATGTCTCGTATATACTCATCAGAAGTGAGCTGAATACCTGATAATCCAGAAGACTTCCTTCTCAGAGCATCTGCTACCACATTAGCCTTGCTAGGCTGATACTGAATCGTCAGGTTATAATCGTTGATCAACTCAAGCCACCTTCTTTGCCTCAAATTCAGATCCTTCTGAGTGAATATGTACTTCAAGCTCTTGTGATCCGTAAAGGTCTCACATCTGACGCCATACAAGTAGTGACGCCAAATCTTCAAAGCAAACACAACTGTAGCCAACTCCAAATCATGCGTCGGGTAATTCTTTTCATGTGGTTTCAACTGTCTCGAAGCATAAGCAATTACCCTACCATGCTGCATCAGAACACAGGCCAAACCTTTCAATGAAGCATCACTGAACACCTGAAATCCTTCCATACCTGATGGAAGTGCTAACACTGGAGCTGAAGTAAAACAATCCTTCAACTTCTGAAAACTAGCCTCACACGCCAATGTCCAAACAAAAGCTACTGACTTCTGAGTCAGTCTCGTCAGAGGCGTAGAAATCTAAGAAAATCCCTTCACAAATTTTTTATAATATCTGTCCATGCCCAAGAAACTACGTACCTCAAATACCGTAGTAGGCCTTGGCCAACCAGCAACAGCTTTAATCTTCTGGGGATCAACAGAAATACCTTCTCCGCTCACCA